CCTTCCCAACTCTCGCAGCCTTCGTTAGCTTTCCAACTATCATCAAAACCTTCTCACAAGAAAAGTCTGGAAATTCATTTACTTTAAAGTAAAAGTAACTAATGATGGCTTAAAGTGTTTCATCTCCCAGGGAGAGTTCAATATGGATAAAACCTCAGATAAAATGTTTGCAGTCTCCTACCATTTAATGACAATCCTTAGTGAGCGGGGAAGGAGAGACTTCTTTTGAGGGATGGGTTAAGAAATAAGAGAGTGACTTGCCAAGCAAAGAGAAACCACTGCTATTGCAACATATTCTGAGGTCAACTATTTGCAGAAATAAAATGAATATATTGTTTTCTATACTTATTTAGGTAGCTAGCACTTAACCAAAGATGTTCAATGTAGGGACCCCACCAAGGAATCCAAAATGCTCCCACACTTTAAGAGAGCTTCTAATATTTTAAAATTAAAGTTGGGTTTGTTGGGGAAAGAGAAACTTCCCCAAGATTTCATGCAGAGAGAAGGCAGAACTTCATATAGTTCACCACAAATATAAAACATTGTCTGCTAGAGAGCTCTGGAATACAGTGAAGCAATTAAACAAGTAAAATTAATTATAAAATTGTCGATAACACAAAACTCTTCATCTTTTAGTAAACAGTAAACCCAGACTGACTCTGATGGAAGCCAATACGATGATACCAAAAGAACAAAAAAGCCAGTTGTCTACTTACAAATCATGTGACCTCCTTTCCCAAAATGTCTAGGTCTTATGCCATCCAATAGAATAAATAAGTATACCCCCTTGCATTAATTAATGCAAGCTGATATCTTCCCTGGTCTCCAGATTCCATCGTGAAATATACCTCCATTTTGAATTAATCAAATACTGCTTCCCTTTGTACTCATACACATATGCTCTTGTCACCAAACTGAATAGCAAGTATACATATCTCTGCCATATCGTGTATTTGTAAAAATCCTGGATTATTTTTTTCAGTCTTACAGTTCCAAACTTCCATATTATAACACCTTTGATGTAAAAGATATAACTCTACTTTGGCCTCTTTTAAAATAATTTTTTATTTCTTGCTCACAGGATATGTTAACATTGTCTGAGTTAACTTTTCAAGCTGATGTCTTGAAGATGATTTGGGCTGAATTGTTCAGTGCTACATAAGTGTTAGTCTGAATCCTTGCTCTAACTTCGCCTTCTGGTTCTATTATACCTCAGAACAATGGATCATTATAAATGTTGCTTTTGAGCAGATTAAAGTTACAAAACAGAGCTGAGCTGATCAGATCATGACATTGGCTTTTGAACATTACAATGCTTCCCACTTTTAAAAATAATTCCCCACCCAGATATTCCTATATGCAATCTATATCTATTCTCTCAGAGAATAAAAGCATTTTTTGAAAATCTATTTCAGAAGCTGGTCATATTATGTTTTTTTTAAAAAAAAAAACCCAGTTGCTAATTATTTATTAAAATGAAGTCCCCATTTTGCAAGTGAAGAATCATCTCCTTCTCAAATATATTTCTTTCTCTAAGTTGAAATTTTCCTCTCTGAGTTTTCTTAAATCATGGTCCTTTCATATTGCATGTACCTTGTGTAAGACACTTCAAATTTACCTTTCTTGAGGGTCAAGTCTCCAGAAATGATTTACTTCCAAACCCATCCCCCAACCTCTGGCAATCAACTCTATTTTTCAAATTTCCAATTTAGCATCTCTGTCTTCAATCACACATTCATCTGTGCTCACCTAAATGTTCAGTGTTTGTCAGCAGCAGTAGATTGCACATTCTCTCTCCCCATCTCTCTCTCTCTCACCTATGAGTCATTACAATTTCAGTAGATTCACAATAGAGAGTTCAGAATCTGTCGCCCACACCTCACTGTAAGCTAAAGAAACCAGAAGACAGCTTTCTCCTCTTGTAAATGTCAAGTGATCAGCATGTCTCCAATGGAGGCTGAATAGAAATGTAACCTTACAAAAAGTAAGTCCTTGGGTCTGGGCAAAGCATTGAGTATTCTGCTCCAAAGTGTACTTTCCCTACAAGAACATGTGATTGGTAGTTTTAGCTTCCTCTTTCATCAGGCTTAACTCAGCAGCCCCAGCTTGGTATCTGATTTGTTCTGGTTGGGTGGGAGAGCCCACAAGACAAACAGCAGATTTTCAGGTTTGTCTCAAAAGCAGCCGGAAGAACTGTGTCTGTGGGAGGGAGGAGTGTGGTGGCTTTCCATCCAAGACTTCTCAAATGTACCTTCTTTTTTCTTAACAATCCAACATACCGCACACCATGCCACACTTATTACTAATTCTTGGTCAACAAAGGGTCCAAAACCCACTATCGGGCTTGCATTTGGCTCTCATTATGCCTTTCATGAGCACATCTCCAAGTATTGTGTCTAAAAGTCCTTCCCTAGGTTTGGTAGGGAGGATATCCCACCAGAATAAGCTCAGGTATCTAACCAAAGTTTCCTTTTGCTGTTGGGTTTACTTTGTTACATTCAGACAGAAAAGAATGCTTTTAGACAGATTGGCATGATTTGGGCTGGAGCTTTGACCAAGCAGTCAGAGGCAGGAAGGGGAAGAAAGGCCAGGAAGAGGGAGGGGGTGAAATCAGATGTTCACTTTATATTTCACTCCAGAAAACAGCTCACAATTATAATTACCCACCTTGTTTTGCAGCTCAGAATAAAAGTGGCGTTGCACCAACCCCTACCCAAGCAGCCATCGTGATTAGAAAGTACTCCCCACCTTGGAGAACTGAGGAGACATGAGCATAATTTTAAATGCAAATTAAATTGAGGGGGTAGCAGAGAGAACACATAAAAGACAGTAAAACAAAACCTTTCAATTTTCTTAAATTAGCAGTCTAATGTGTTCTAAAGAGCAGCTCCACTCAGATCTCTTTTTAAGGGTTGCATTTCATCACAATATAAAATGGGCAAATCCATCACTTGCCTCTGCTCAGTGCTCTTGAATTGAGATTGAAGGGAAAATTAGAAGCTGTTCATTTGGGCTCGCATGCTCAGCAGCATTGCACAGCTTCATTTGATGCTCTGCGGTGTCCTGCTGGTGAGTATCTGCTAACTTCAGGACTCTTCCTTTCCTGTCTCATTTTTGGCCACCTTTCTTTTCTGTGGGGTGGGGGGACAGCTCCCAAAAGAGCTATGTTATAATGCATTTTTTAAAAGCTGGAAAATTTCAGGCAGCTTTTTCAGCTTATTCCAGTGACTGATTCGCAGAAGGAAAGAGAGTTATTTTCAGCTGAGATGCTGGTGACTGATCTATGTATTAATTATAACAGGGGAACATTTAACATATGCTAAGCTCAAACAGCCTTTCCCTACAACGAAGAGCCAGTGTCAGGGTAAGAACTGGGTGCCCCCCAACAATTGCTAGACAACTTTTCTATCCTACTCATTGTTTAATCATGTAATTCTGTTGCAATTGCAAATCAAACTGTGACTTGGGGCTATAAACATAAATTATTAAAGCCAAAACCCATTTTTCAAAGACGATGACACTTCTCTGTGTAAGAGATGGAAGGGGTGATAGGGACCAGACCACATGATGGTTACATGTAGATTTTGATGGTGATGATTTTGTGCCCAAGTTTTATACGGGAAACTGGTCATTTTCTTCCTTCAGAGTGGAGGATACAAAGAGGCTGAGGCTGGCGTCACCTTCTGTTGCTAAGGTAACATGCTCTGGCCATTTTATGTGATAAAGGAGGTCCAGTGGACTGTATATATTATTCATCACTGTTCCAATCGAACAATCAAAATTGTTTACTTTCATTGGGAATTTAGTGAGATCAAAGACACTCCAGCTGAAATTTTTCTTGCTTTTACTGCCAGCAGTTAGTCCTTGATTTTTTTTTCCTCTTGCAGTAAGTATGATTTGCTGTTCGGGTACCTCTGGGTATTTTTTAAAGTTTCCTCTTACCAAATTTGCGTTCTTATATTAAAATATGCACTGTTAGAAAGAGGAACAAATTGGATTAGCCATCTGAGCTTGATTTTTAATGACTTGGTCTTATAAATTCTTTCCAAAAACATCCTGCAGAAATAGAGACACTTCATGTGTGCAAGTATCAGGGAAAGGCTACATATGCTAAAAAGAACCCAACAGGCTGAATGCTTTTTAATGAAGTGCATCAGCTTCCTGACAGGCTAGTGCATGATAATATTATGGGGATCGTTGCCTACAAACCAGGATTCTTTCTCAAAAGCAGCCTGGGTCAAGGGCAAGCAGGTGATGATCCTGTAGCACTTTATAAAATGTGCTGAAGGGAATCACCAAAAAGGAAGGAATCCAACGCATTTTTTACAGCAAACATGTCAGCATGTGTCATAAACGCAAGGCACCTATAAGTGGAGGCTCGGATTCCCAGGCGATTCTCGCTGTTCTAGGAGAGTCGGAACTCCCTGGACCAACTGAGGATTAGTTCAGAACGGCTGACACTTAACGGTGCCATTCATCAGACAGACCTTTTGAAAACGGATAGCATATGAATTTAACAGCCTATTTTCCAGTTAATTTACAACAAGGAAAGACTGGTATGTTACTTCTCTTTAGCTTGAATCATCTGGTTTGTTTTTTTTTTTTCTGAGTAGAATATATTTCTTTTAATGAATGCTCATTAAATGTTGCATTTTCTCATACAGTAGGAAAGCTATGTTGAGGGTGGCTTGGAATTGGAAATGTCAAATGAGGGAGTATTATAATGGGATAGTTCTTATTCCAAAATTGTTAATATATCTATACATATATATAAATATATATCCTTATAATATATAAAAAATATAAATCCTTATAATATATAAAAAATATAATACATTGTATGCACGTATATGTTTATATATATATGTATGTGTGTATATATATATAGATGGTTTTAAACATCTATTTGACAGTCTAAAATATTGTGGATTTTTTTTTCCTTTATCATAGGCATACAAGTGACTATTTTGTCTTGAAACTCTGCTTTGGGAACATCAAGGATGGATTATCCCAAAATGGATTATTTTCTGGATGTGGAGTCCGCTCATAGACTCTTGGATGTTGAGTCAGCTCAGAGATTCTTCTATAGTCAAGGAGCTCAAGGTAATACAATGGGAACAAGAGAGTAAACTCCTCTCTTTTGCACGTTGGGTTTATACTGACAGTTCGGTATCTACTGCAGCAGCTTCAGCTGTAGGGCAGAGGGTCAGTAACTGGGATTACTAAATCGAAAACTCATCTCTACCAAACTGTTGCTGAAACTGAGGCAGGCATGTAATAGAATGGATACACACCAACTTCTTGGATGTCGTTTAAAAAAAAAAAAAAAGCGTCTTACCTAACTTTTGACACAAATGCCCCTTGGACAGCTAGGTTAGAAAATGATTTCCCACCTACTTGCACCCAAGGCATAGGTATCCAGAAAGGTATCCGATGCTCCCCACCTCCCCGCTCCCGGGAAAGGTTAAATTTGCAGCCACTACACTTGAGGAGATCTAGGGCACCCTGATCTATCTGACGGAAATCCAGCTGGATTAGGGGTTCCTGAGATAAGCTTTGCACTTCTAGAGCTGCCTTATCTGTTTTAGATGAATTCTGTTACTGCTCGAGGAATTAACAGTGCACTCGGGGAGCAGTGAGGAGCATGCCTATGGTGAAGTGTGCCTGATATGTGCACTTTTATTACATAGTTCAAGATGGTCTGTTAGGCTCCGGTTGGCTTGCTCTTCCTGTTCCACGGTGCATCGAGGATGTTTTGCCAGGGCATTGGAAAGAAGCTGGAGTGTCTTATGGGATCTCCTGACAGGCAGGAGATTTTTTAAAAGTGTATTTTCTCTACTCTATGGAATATTTAGGGTATTCAGTCAAATCAATCTGATGATGGGCATCTCCCGTACGGTACAAGGGATGCACTGAGGAGAAAGGCCATGACCGTATTCTTAAAGAGAAAAGTAGTCAAGTTCTTGGAAGTCATAACGCAGAACTGAGAAGGAATGCTGTTCGGGGACTTCTGGCATCGTGCACTGTTAGGTGGTGACAGGTATTTCACACGGGGCACTGATGAAATCTGCCTTGGCTTTCCCAGAGGTCTCCTCTGCACTGGTTTTACCTTCCTGGCAAGCCAATCTCCCATGGCAGGCTCGAGGGTTTGCAAGCCTCCTTCTCTGCTTCCATTTTCCTGGGTAAGATCCAGCCTTCTTAAAGTCAGGAGGGGCTGGGAAATGATCTGGTTGATTTGCTTGGGTCAGTGCGTTCATCAGCAGAACTTAAATTAGCCAAAGTGATACAACAGCTAATTCTCCTCATGCCTCTGGTTGTATGTAGTCAGCAAATGCTCCTCTCAGGCCCCTAAAGAGACACGAATATGTTGCTGAAGTAGGAGAAGAGGGAGACTCTGGCTAGAACCTCCAGCCTCCCCTGGGTCGGCAAGTAAGAAGACGCTAGAAGTAGATGGAGGAAAGGGGCTGAGGCTCAGTCCCCATGGACGGTCCCGTGTTTAAACATTACCGCGTCTCATCCATTCAGTCTGAGTGGGACAATAATGTTCAGTGGTGGGGTTGTCTACCTGAGCTGTGCAATCATCAGCAGAGAAGGGGAGTCAAGTTCATTAACAGTGTTAAAGATGTCCACTTTGCATGGCAGCAGAGACAGTTGAAGCTTTTCAGAAGCCTGTGGGCTCCGGGCTTCCACGAAAGGAAAGCAGGCAGGGTGTGGGAGGCTTGGAGGACTCAAATCAGCCTGGTGGTTGTCAGCAGATGGAGTTTGGGGGTGGAGTGGTCAGAATTGTCGCCATCCGTGACTGTGGTTTAGACAGCAGAGCTGGAATGACTAGAAAATGCAGGGGAGGTGGTAGCATAAGCCACTGGTGCTCCTGACAGCACGTTCATTTTAAGGTAAAATCGGAACGATGTTCCAATCAAAGGATCTTGAATTCGTAGTAAGGTGGAGGGGTCCCGAAACATGATCTATTTTGATTTTTTTAAAACCCCAGCCTTCCTAAATCAGATATCCAGGTGTACAGCCTAGGAGTTTGCATTTTAAGCAAGAGCTCCAGTGATATTACCTAGCAGCACATAAGTCTAAGGGCCCACATTTAAAAACCAGTCCACCCAGTCCAATTTCTCTCCTGCCTTCCCGGGACGGGAACACTTTCCTCTGCATTAGAGGCAGGATGACACAGTGGTTGCAGACCCGGGACCCTGACCGCGGGGGTTCAAATCATGGGTCTGCCACAGTGAACCTGGACAAGCTTACCTCTTTGATCTGAATTTCCCTCCCCTGAAAAAGACAGAAACCATAATAGTGCCCAGTTCCTCAGTTGACTAGAGCCTTAATGAAGTAAGATTTTAAAGTACCGAAACTGTCTGCCACATAAGAAATGCTACACATCAGCAAATCAATAAAATAAACATCCCTGGCAAAACACTATCCCCTCCTCTGCTTGAAATTTCATAAGGAAGCCACTGCCAAACAAGAATGTAGCTTGATAGGTGTTTAATCTCCTGTTTTTAGCAAAAAAAAAAAAAAAAAAAAAAAGAAAGAAAGAATTAGGGCGCCTGGGTGGCTCAGTTGGTTAAGCGACTGCCTTCGGCTCAGGTCATGATCCTGGAGTCCCGGGATCGAGTCCCACATTGGGTTCCCGGCTCAGCAGGGAGCCTGCTTCTCCCTCTGACCCTCTCCCCTCTCATGCTGTTTCTCTCTCTCTCTCTCAAATAAATAAATAAAATCTTTAAAGAAAGAAAGAAAGAAAGAATTAAATTTTACATGAATTATAAAACATAGTAATTATTTTCTTGTCACATCAAAACCCAACTCAGGGCAAAATTGAAAAATAGTGAGTTTGTCTTGGTACTCCCTATCCATCTAGTCCACCTTTACACATGAAAAGTGAGACCCCTCTTTTTCCTCCCCATGCCTTCCCCAGAGCTGGACCAAGTAGGGCCGGTGAACCCCAGTCTCCTCTCTGGAGCTCTGCTGTCACTATGATGTGGGACTTTCACTACACTGCCCCAGGTCCTCCGTGGCAGCCTCCTTCCACTTGGTATAGACTCCCCAGACTTTCCTAGACAACCTAGACAAGCAGCCCCTGGGCCTGATAAAGGGCTCGGGTGAGTGGGGAGAGGCCTGGGGACCACAGCCTGTACCCCTCCCTTTCAGAACCAGATGTATGTGTTTGAGGGGAGATTCTGAGCACAAGTGGAAAGGGGGCAGCATGGGAGCTGGCTCTTGGGAAAGGCATTTGAGGCAATTAGGGTTTTGTGTTGCTGCTGAATCTCAGCACACAACAGCTCTCTTCCTGGCCAGCCCATCCTGGGGACAGGGGCACAGGAGATCAAGTAACCCTGACCCGACACTCTCTTCTAAAAGAAGGTCTAAATGGGAGGACAGTATGGAGCTGAGCACCCAGTGACCCGGGATTTGATCCACTCAACTGGTGGGTGATTATTGCCTTTTTGAGTTGTCCATTCTCAAAGTCATGTTGATACTTCTGTAGACTGATCAAGTGTTCTTGAAAGTGTAAATATTTTTAAAGGGGGAAGCAAGAAAATCTGAGTTTTATTTTCCACATTGCCATCCTTATATCAGTTTTATTTACAAATTCATAAACTTCTTTGAAACCAACCCCTTCTCTATTTATGACTTGCAAAAATGGTTATCTAGGACCGTGATACTGGAATTATAATATTTTTGACCCCATCACAGTTATTTTTCAATTCTTTTTGGGAAGCAGCAAAAGGCCTGCCTCTAAGTAGAAGATGCTTTTAGCTAGTAAAAGCCAGAGAAATCCCAGAGGGTGAAAAAGAAAGACAAAAGCCATCCAATCTATCGTGGGACAAATTCTTCTGAAAGTCCCAGAGATTTTCAAAATTCGGTTATTGGCTCTGTGGAATAAAGCAGGTTGCTCTGTGGACCTTCATATTCTTTGGTTTGGTCCTGAAGTAGAGAAGATGAGCCCACTCCTCTGGGGACTCTGCTTTGGAAAGCATGATGTGTTGCAGAGAGCAGAAAAAAATCTAGGATCACCCTGTTCATCATCCGTCAGTGAAGGATGCTCTCCCAATTAATCTGTGAGTGCTTGGTCAACAGTAAAAGCTGCTTACTGAGAGGGAATTCTGTGAAGGTCTCCATTAACTGAAAAGGAGAATATTTGAGGTTGAAGATACACATGGCATAGAGATCAGCCATGTCCTGACATAATATAACTTGAGTTCACCCACCTTCCAGGTTTCTGACAGTGATGACTCACACACTCAGCTTCAGTCTCTGTAATTTTTTTACTGAACAATTGCATTGGGAGGGAAGTCATATTATAAGATCATAAAACTAACATCGTAAGATTTTCAGGTTGAAAGGGACATTATGGATGGGTGATTCTCTTGGCCCCTTCTGAAACCAAGTGAAACGGAATTTGTGAGGGATAAACCCAGGTCCGAGGGCTACATTTTCAAAGAGCCACTGGGCTATTCTGATGAACACTGAAGGTTGAGAACCACTGTTATTGATTGTTAATCACGTGCTATTCAGAGGATGGTCCTGAACTAGCAGCACCGGCTTCATCTCAGAGCTGGTTAGAGATGCAAAATCTCAGGCACCCTAGACCTAGAGAAGCAGAACCTACATTTGAACAAGATTTCCAGGTAATTTATGTTAGTTCAAGAAGCAATGACTGAGTCCAATACATATTAGAAACACCTGGCAAGCTTTTATGAACTCAAGACTGGAGTCCCACAACAGACCAATTAAATCAGAATCTTTGGTCATGAGCCTTATACTTGGGAATCATTTTAATTGTCCCTAGTGATTCAAATATGCAACCAGGACTCAGAACTACTGACCTCCTGTTTTATAGTAAAGGAGGTTTTAGCACATCATGCAGCTATTCTTGCCTGAGGATCTTTCTCTATCTAGGTCCTTCCCTTAAATAAATCTACAGCATTGGAAAGGTGCAAATGGACTTTTTTAAAAAAAGGACTGGGCTATGTATGGGTGCTACCCTTTGCATATTCATTGTATCCATTAATCCTCAAAGAAACTTTGGGAAAGAGGAATTATGATGCTTATTTCATGGATTAGAAAAGACTACACATTTAGAAAGCAGCATG